TTAGACGGGCGGTTGAACAGATGGTTCCCTACACATTTGTCACCTGTCTCCTTCTTAATGCTAAAATATATTTTTGCTTCCCCGTTCCTTAGAGAGATAACTAACATTCCTTGAAGTTTTTTTGCAGAACATCCCATGCAGCGCAAAGGGATTTTGCCGTGAACGTGCCCGGGCAAACTATGTGCGAACATATTAGTTGCGAAACTTTGAAATGAGGGATTAGCTGTTAGTGGAAAATCAACTCGGCCGATGATATGAGTGTTGAAGGTGTTAATAAACGTATTTGAAAGCAAAATCCGTAGGAGACCAGGGGGTAGTAACGAACAGATTTGCGCTAACAGTAAGCCGAAGTTGGTCGATTATTATGCATGATACCGTGTCTACAATAAGCTCCATTTTAATGAATCTCGACATTTTACTGCCTAATTTTGAATATGAATGCCAAAGCTGCTGAGATATATGGATTCGAGATCTGTGTCTACTACCACAACCTTTTTTTCTTTGTTTTAATCTTTTCCTTAATTAACGCCTTGTACCATAAAGGTATTATTTGTGCAAAAATTCAAGGATTAATCATCATCATTAGTTTTCTGCTAATGTAGGTCTCTGATGGCTCTTCTCCATGAACCTCTATCCTCTGCTCTTCTTTTTACTCCTTCATGTCATTCTTCTTCCTCTTTCGGGTCGTCAACCAATTTCCTTCTTCGTCTTACTCTTTTTCTTTCCCACTTAACAGTTCCCTAGATTACGTCTTTGTCCAATCCAGTTCATTTCGCTTTATGATCTTTAACGTGCATCTTTCTTCTCCAATTGTACTTAATACTACCACAGATTTAAAGTGTTTAAATCTGTGATACTACTAAAATTGTATCGTATCAGTCCATTTGATGTTCATTCATGTAAAAAATATAAACAAAATCAATTTTTCGTGTAGTTAATAGAAAAGTGACGCATTGTTAAATCAAAAATCGTGAAGAAAAGTGAGACTTTTCTTGTTAGCAACACTTTTCTTCACGATTTCAGTTAGCAACACTTTTTTTCATTCATTTTGTTTATTATTATAAATCACAAATGAAGTTATTAAATATTACACCAGAAGATATGGAAAGCCACCACAACGTTTATAAAATATAAATCCATCCTCCGATGTAACTGTGAAGGCTCGTTTTATCTTTGATTTTGTGCCGTGTAATGTTATAACCAAAATATTTCCGCAATCTTCTACATCTACATCATCCACTTTTAGTAACCGTAATTCTTTCGCCCGACAAGGTCCGTGCAGGGCAATTACCAACACGACCTTTATAAACAGAAACTTGTCACCAGGAGACTTTTCTAAAAACTCCTTTACGTTATCTATCGATAGAACTCTCGATTTTTTGCCGCATAACCGTCATTTTGACGTTTCAGGTAAGTAAGTAATTTTTTATAAACAGAAATATCTACATTTTCATTTATTTGTAGAGTACTTCTCAGCATCGAGTATTGTGACCATAGCTAAAGAAGCTTTAAGTTTCTATGCCTAAGAATATTTAAAAATCAGTGCTAATAAATTGATAAATACGAGTAATACAAACCTTTCCAATAAAGTACGCAATTAGAATATCTTCATTTGCTCCTTGCACATTTTTTATGTTTCTCCAGTCACAGAGCTGTAGGTAACATTTCTCGTACTTTACTTTGGACTTTTTGGGTAATAAACTCAGAGCTTGGGCAGAAAACAAGTGTAATTCCCGTTTAATCGTTAATGTTAACGAAGTTAACATATTGATTAACTATTAACTTTTACGTTAACTTCGCAAAAACTGTATAACGGTCTTTTTAACTTCCGTTAATTTGAACTTGCCGTAACAAGTCGTTTACTGCGGATAAGTTATAAACGCGGCGCGCAGCCGTGGCCATATGCACGGCACCTGGATTTTGCATTTTGCTTGTGTTGGTGTTGGAACAGTGTAATTGCAATGAACAAAAGTTTGTCATTGGTTAAACAGTGAAAACTACACCTTTTTTTCAATTACTATAGTCTTAGAGAAGGAAAGAATGAGGAGTGATAATATTGATCGTAAAGTGTAGCCCACATTTGTTTGTTATTCCACCGAAAACTAACCTCAAATTTATACCTGTGAAACGAAATACTTTCGTGTGTTTTTTGGCTATTACTTCCGTGCACTACAATGTACCATTGTCCAATAATGTTTTTAATCGCATATTTCGAGATGCATAATCACGAAAATGAAAAATTAAACAAATTTTGGCTCCGAAAATATGGCCGCCCCAGGTTTCACCGCGCAGCATTGCGCTGGATAGGATATTGTCAGTCCCCTTTCTTTCATAGTCTAAGTTAAATACAAATCTAAAATGAGGTTATGGACAAATGACAGCAAATATTTACGAATATTTATGTTCCATTGAGAGCAATTTTCACATGGATTTCTTCAGTTTCTCGTGCAACACTCGTGCAGTACGAGTTTTGCCAATCGAAAACGCTATAACGCGAGTCGGCTTGAAATTCATTTGTGACTATAGTAACGGCTTGAAGCTGTGAGTGTGTTATATTAAGCTAGTTTTACATCAACAATTTCTTCGTCAATTAAATCATGAAGTTATTTGTCAATTTATTGCTTAAGTTCCTTGGTTTTACACTGCTGCCAACTTGATCAATTTCTTGTTGGTTTTCAAGACATTGTACAATTTTACCAACCTTTAATTTTTTTAAGGTTAGGTAGTCATTTATTTAATTGTGTAAAAATAAAAGTGAAAAGGGTAAAAATGTTTCCCTCTGTCTTGAATGGAAGATTCGGAATAGAAAAAGAAAGAGCGCGATATTATAGCTCATAAAAATCATCAAAACATCTTGATTTTATTATTTATGTTGGTTGCTGGTAGTTGGTACTACTGAATTGACGTAAAAATTGCCAGAAAAATAGAACTAATCCGACAAGAAATTGATCAAGTTTTTGCATCAAATTTTGTGTTTACACCCGTAAAGCTTTCTTGCCAAAGCGACTTGATCAATTTATTGCTGATGTAAAACTAGCTTTATAGGTGAATTTTCATTTGCCGTCCTCGTGTGTGTGGTTCGGCTTTCAGAATTCGAGAGCCGTGCGACGGAGTCACGTTTACCTTATAGTCTTATAAGTGAAAGTCTTTAGAATTGTTTATTAGACACGTTGGTCTCGCACTACGGATTTAGGACTTCATACTAGGCTTGTCCTTATAACCAAGATTTTATGGCACTGTAACTTCAAGCAAGGTTTGCGCACGCCCAACGAGACCTCGGTGCTCTTACCGCGCGTCCCGATCTGGTTGTGTAACGTCATTTTAGACGTTACATTTTTTTATTTAGATTGATTAGCGGCTTCAATTTTTTGTATACGAATCTGCTCTTTTTGAGTGAATTTTCGCTTGTGCAGAGATAGATGCCGAAGTGTAAAGACACTTAGCGGCATTCATGTCGAAATACAACTTTAGTCCAGGACCTTCAGATACCTTCTGCACTGGAGGAGGTCCGGCTAATTAACAATGATATTTAATCCTGTAAGAGACTTCGGAATGTTATTCTTCACAAATCGGAAATGATTGGAAGTGCTTTTAAATCTACTTGAGATCCATTCTTTAGCATATCGAATTTTGTAGTAACGTCAGATTTAAATTATTCTTTATCAGAAACGCATTCATAAACAGCGTATATACAGAGTATATATTTTTTCCTACTGAATCTAAATTTGAAATTTAAAAAATAAGACAACTTTATTATGTGGAACACCCTGTATATTATTACATCATATGACAGCTTATAAATTCCCTCCAAAGATTTTAATGCACTATAGCCCAAATACGTCAAATACCGTCAATTATTTGCTTTTCGATCTAGTTACCCATGACAATGATCAAATGTCATAGCTTGTTAAGTCACGGGTCATATTCAACAGCACCGATCTTTGAACTCGTAGGATATCTTTTCGTTGGTTGACTTAGACGAGGAATTCGCCAAAAACTACATTTTAAAAAACCCTTTCCCAAAATTATTATGGACGCCTATGATTGACACGATATCTTCACTCTGTGGATATCAGGTCGCCATTTTGATTCAAGTTTTCCTTTTTTATTTAAAGGTGACCAGTCTATGCTGTACAGTTATAGAAAAAAAATGTATGTATGGTCCACTGTGTTGGTAACAAGCACCCCTTCAAGCACCAACAAATATTTCAAATCGAGGCTATAACCTACACCAAAAAATTTGTGGTTTATTCTCTTTCTAAGCTTAGGTAAGTTGTATTTTTGTGGTCATAAGAATTAAAAATAATCTCGTAGATAGCTATGGATGACAAAATTGCATTTGTTAAAGTTGAACCAAAACAAGAAGATGAAATAAATTTGTCCATTGAAAGAAACATTTTTGTAAGCAATGATTTCTTGGCTACTATAAAAGAAGAATATAATGAGAACACGACGATGAGGACAGAATATTGTGGTCGCGGAGAAGATAATTGTTCAAGTGTTAAATCCGAAACTGCAACTTTTACATGTACGGTTTGTGACTACACAACAGACAACGAATCACTTTTTAAAGTACACCTTTTAACGCATACGAATACTAAAGATTTTAAATGTGCACACTGTGACTATGTATCAAATGTGAAGAAGAATTTGAGGCACCATGTCATAAAACACATTGTTTCAAAAGTGTTTAAATGTGACGTTTGTTATTATGCCACAAATAAGAAGTTCAATTTAAAGCAACATTTACTAAAACATAACGATTCAAAAGATTTTAAATGTGATGTTTGTGATTATGCAACAAATACTAAGAGGTATTTGAAGAATCATTTGCTAAAACACAACGTTTCAAAAGATTTTAAATGTAACATTTGCGATTATGCCACAAATATTAAACGCCATTTTAAATTACATCTTTTAACACACAAAGAGTCGAAAGACTATAAATGTGATATTTGTGATTACGCAACAAATACAAAGCACTATTTAAAGAAACATCGCCTAATACACAATGATTCCAAATTTTTTAAATGTGATACTTGTGATTACGCCACAAGTATTAAATGCCGTTTGAAGTCGCATTTTTTAACACACAGTGATTCGAAAGTTTTTAAATGTGATATTTGTAATTATGCCACAGGTATTAAAAGGCTGTTAAAGTCGCATCTCTTGACACACAATAATTCCAAAGATTTTAAATGTAATTTTTGTGATTATGCCACAAGTATTGAAAAGCGGTTTAAGTTGCATCTCTTAACACACAATGATTCGAAAGATTTTAAATGTGATATTTGTGATTATGCAACAAATACGAAGAGCTATTTGAAAAGACATATCTTGATACACAGTGACTCAAAAGATTTTAAATGCGAAATTTGTGATTATGACACGAGTATTAAGAGCCGCCTTAACTCGCATCTTTTAACGCACAATGTTTCAAAAGATTTTAAATGCGATATTTGTGATTATGTAACAAATACAAAGCCCAATTTGAGGCAACATATCTTAATACACAATGATTCAAAAGATTTTAAATGTGGCATTTGTAATTATGCAACATACACCAAGTACAATTTGAAGCAACATCTCTCAATACACAATGATTCGAAAGATTTTAAATGTGATATTTGTGATTATGCAACTAATATGAAATACTATTTGAAGAAACATGTCTTAATACACAATGAGGCGAAAGATTTTAAATGTAGCATTTGCAATTATGGAACAAATATTAAAAGCCGTTTTAAGTCACATTTCTTAACACACAATAGTTCGAAAAATTTTAAATGTGATATTTGTGATTATGCAACAAATAAAAGCTACTATTTGAAGCAACACCTCTTGATACACAATGATTCAAAGGATTTTAAATGTGATGTTTGTGATTTTGCAACAAATGCGAAGTCCAATTTGAAACAACATTCCCTAATACACAATAGTGCAAAAGATCTTAAATGTGATGTTTGTGATTATGCAACAAACACTAAGAACAATTTGAAGCAACATCTCTTAAAACACAATCCCTTAAAAGTGTTTAAATGTAACGTTTGTAATTATGCATCAAATATTAAGGGCTCTTTTAAGTCACATCTCTTAACACATAATGACTCAAAAGATTTTAAATGCAATTTTTGTTCTTATGCAACAAATACTAAGCAAAGTTTGAGGCAACATCTCCTAAAACACAATCTTTCAGAAGTGTTTAAATGTGGCGTTTGTGATTATGTCACAAGTATTAAAACTTCATTTAAATCACATCTCTTAACGCACATTGATTCGAAAGATTTTAAATGTGATATTTGTAATTATGCGACAAACACTAAGCAGACCTTGAGGCATCATCTTTTAAAACACAATGCTTCTCAAGTTTTTAAATGTGCCGTTTGTGATTACGCCACTTATATTAAAAGCCGTTTTAATTCACATCTCTTAACACACAACGATTCGAAAGATTTTAAATGTAATAATTGTGATTATGCAACAAATACTAAGAGTAACTTGAGGAATCATGTCGTCAAACACAATGTTTCAGAAATTTTCATATGTCACGTTTGTGATTATGTTACAAACATTAAACGCACTTTGACACGACATCTCTTATCACACAAATCATATAAAGATTTCGATTGTGGTCTTTGTGATTATGCAACAAATACTAGGTACCATTTGAAACGACATCTCAAAACACACAATAGATCCAAAAATTTTAAATGAGGCTTTGGATTAATATTTGGTGTTTCACAAACTGTATTCTAACACACACAGTTTTTCGATTTGACATTTGTTAATAACACACAATGGATCTCGAATTTTAAATGTGACCTTTGTGATTAATAACTGAGACCGGTTTGAAACGAAACGCCTTAAGTAGCAACACATTTATGTATAGTATGTATAGGAATTATCCAATACGTTGTTAGAATTATAATAAATTGCGAGAAAATTTAAATAAATTAAAATAAAGAATGTGTGAATTACATGTAAACTGCTCTATGTAAATAGTTATGAGTACATATATTATGCATTTCTATTTATCTGTATCTGTATATACGAATGTATAATAAACATGTAGGTATTTCTTTTCTGTGTATATACATTTTATATATATGTATTAATGTCTGTCAGTTATATATATATATATATAGTTATATATATATATATATATATTTATATAATTATAGTTTACAAGTATACCAGGAATTGTATGTTTACTTCATTCTTGTCCACCTTTTATAAATATATTAGTGTGCCGGGAAGAAAGGTTTTTTTTTTTAATTCAATAACGTCTGTCTATACTAGAAAAAAATAATATGTCAAATGAAATGTTAACACATCTACAAAAAAATTATTTGTTTTGTAATTACACTGGACACATTTTCAGATGTCGTTTCAAGCTGGATTTATAAGTGGATGCAAAATCGCACTGGACACATTTAAAATTCTTGGAAGACTCGTGTTTTAAAAGATGAGTTCTCAAGTTGCGTTTATAGTTGGTTGCATAATCACACTGTGTACACTTTAGATCCTTGAAACTCTTGTGTGTTAGTAGATGATCTCTAAAGTGAGATTTATTATTCGTAGCGTAATCACACTGAGCACATTTTAAATCCTTGGCAACCTTATGTGTTAACAAATGTCTTCTTAAGTAGTACTTATTATTAGTTAAGTAATCGCAATGATAGCATTTTAGATTCTTCACAGCGCTGTGTGTTAACAGATGTTTTTTAAAGATGGGCCTAGAATTAGTGGCGTAATCGCATTGTGCACATTTTAAATACTTTACAGGAATATGCGAAAAGAGATGATTTTTCAAACTGGATTTATAAGTGGAGGCAAAATCACACTGGACGCACTTAAACTGGTTGGAAGACTCGTGTTTTAACAGATGGGTTTTCAAAGTGCTCTTACGGTTGGTTGCGTAATCACAGTGGGCACATTTAAAATCCTTGAAAATCTTGTGGGTCACGAGATGATCTCTAAAGTGGGATTTATTATTCGTTGCGTAATCACACTGGGCGCATTTCAAGTCCTTGAAAATCTTGTGTGTCTGCAGATGATATCTAAAGTGGGGTTTATAATTGGTTGCGTAGTCACAATGGGCACACTTTAATTCCTTGTAAATCTTATGTGTCAGGAGATGCTGTCTAAAGTGGGATTTATTATTAGTGGCGTAATCACACTGAGCACATTTTAATTCCTTAGCAGCCTTATGCGTTAACAAATGACTTCTTAAGTAGTATTTATTATTGGTTGCGTAATCACACTCATTGCATTTTAAATCTTTGAACATCTTATGTGTCAGGAGATGATCTTTAAAGTGGGCTTTGTTATTCGTTGCGTAATCACACTCAGCACATTTTAAATCTTTAGCTGCCGTATGTGTTACCAAATGCCTTCTCAAGTAGTATTTATTATTAGTTACGTAATCGCAATTATTGCATTTTAAATCCTTCACAGTGCTGTGTGTTAACTGATGTTTGTTAAAGGTAGATCTAGAGTTGGTTGCAAAATCACATTGTACACATCTGAAAAACTTTGTAGGATTGTGTGACAACAGATGTTTTTTCAAACTGCATTTGTACGTGGATGTAAAATCGCACTGGACACATTTCAATTGGTTAGAAAACTCGTGCGTTAACAGATGAGTTCTCAAATTGCGTTTACCGTTGGTTGTATAATCACACTGTGTACATTTTAAATCCTTGAAAGCCTTATGTGTCTGGAGATGATCCCTAAGGTGGGATTTATTGTTGGTTGCGTAATCACACTCTGCACAGTTTAAATCTTTGAAAATTTTGTGGGTCACGAGATGCTGTCTAAAGTGGGACTTATTATTGGTCGCGTAATCGCACTGATCACATTTTAAATCCTTGGCAGCCTTATGAGTTAACAAATGCCTCTTTAAGTAGTATTTATTATTGGTTGCGTAGTCACACTGATGGCATTTTAAATCCTTGAGAATCTTGTGTGTCAGGAGATGATCTGTCAAGTGGGATTTACTATGGGTTACGTAATCACACTGAGCACATTTTAAATCCTTGTTCGTTTTCGGTATTAGACGTCTTTTAAAGCAGAGTTTGTTATTAGTTGTGGAATCACCTGTTGAACATTTGTACATATCACCGACAAATTCATTTTCTTGCAGCACTTTACCTTCTTCTTTCCAATTACGTGTCGCATTAGAAGAATGCGCCCCCTCAAGTTCCAGTTTTATTGTTTCAGAGACCTCATTGTTAAGGAAAACCTTCTCCTCAATACATTCATTTAATTCCTCCTCTTGTTTTATTTCAACTTTTACGATTGCCGACATCACAGTTTTTTTTTCAAACAACAAAGGTCGCTCTGTATTTGGAATATAGGCGATACTCAACTACTGCAAGAAATTTATTAATTGTCTTGTGTGGACTGAGAGACGACAACCATATTGCTTGTCAAATGATGTTTTCCACGGGCCAGAAAGAGACATAAACAATAATTGGATAGTCATATCTACTTCCGTGGTCTAATCGAAACGTCAAGAAATGGGCGCGTTCAACTACTTTACTAGTGGTTAGTTGTGATGGGTTTTTTCTTTTTCTTACAAATCGGTTAGGCGTGAAGTATTAATGCGAAAGATATTCGTATAGCGTGAATAATATCCAGATGCACTTTTAGCTACCCAGGATATTCAATCGTCAAATGGAACAGTCAAGTGGTCGAAGGTCCAGGAACAGTAGCCACCGCCGCAATCGGCATTTTGTTTTTGACAGCAAATTTAATTTATTTACTCCAATGAATAAAGAATAGGAAGGAGCAACTCAGGTTGTATCATATATATAAGAGAAGTATATATATGGGTTGTATACAAGAGAGTGGGACGGAAGTCGGCCATTTGCAAAAGCCACTTATGACTCATTTTTGTTGTGGTTTTTGCAGTGACATTTAATAATGGTTAGTTGTGCTTGTGGTTGCTCCAAAACGGAAAAAATAAAAGTTTGGGAATTACATAGGTAGGTACGCCACTGGAACAGGAAACTACTGTCCGCCATTTGCAAAAGCCATCGCGGTCGCACGTATATTGTTGATATTCTCCTTGTATTCTTTATTCATTGATGTGGAGAGGGAGGAAAATATTGAGAGAATGTAGAGGTAGAAGAACATACATGAAAAAAACCGGTAAAAATCAAACCCGCCTGCGGAAAGTCATACAGGAGTATCTTTCAATGCTGGGTTTATGCCATGAACTCTGCACTCTGAAAACGTGAGGAGTATTCCTGAGGGGATTAGGTGACCATGGGCTACATCAGCCCTCCCATCAATAATAAATTAAGAAGAAGCATTCAAAATTGTATTCCGTCAAACTAAAAATCATCAAAAAATGTATCGGCATCAAGTCCTTGGAACACATCACTTAGCACTTCCTTATCTTCTACAGTTAGCGATGCATTGTGGACCGGTGACCAATTTGAGACTGGAGCTGCCAGTTTCGGGCTTAACTGATTAGTCTTAATCCTCTCAACGTTGCAAAAGTCTTCATCCGTAAATTTCTGGAGCTTGATCACGCCGTGTCCAGTATAAATCGAAACTAAATTATTTGAGGTTATCGTTAAGTAACAATTCGATGTACGCGTCAGCACCCCCACCTGCCGTAGCGTTATAACACTTCCAATTTTCAAATCCTTTGGATAATCCTTAATCAGATTACTCGCTATGGTTGCGTGTATTCGCCCTATAATGTTAAACTGGATCTACACCTCGTTAACACTCGATTTACCTGTAGGATCCTTAAGTACAACGCTATTAACGGAGGCCTCCCCGTTCATTTTGTGTATAATCCCCGCCAAGAAAGGCGCCTTTCCGTTTATCAGCAGATCGTTTTTCACTTGCGCCTTAATCCACGCTATATTGAACTTGTCGGGAAGATATACGCCGCGATCCTTCAGCAATCGAAAATCATTCGACATCTGTTCCCACGGCCCTTGAAATATCTGCGTGGACGACTGAGAGCACGGGACTTCCTAAAAAACATCCAATATTGTAAACACGCACTTAATCAAACGACGTACATTAAGAGCAGGTTGAGATTGCGGCCCGTTCGAAATTATTCCGGCCGGTCCTGGAAATCTTCTCTTAACCGGTTGACGTTTGGTGCCGGGCGAGGGAAGTTTTTTAGTGGGTGGCTCTGGAGGACACGGGTTTTCCCATGGCACTTTAAAAACGTCCTAAAAAAATTCTTTGAAATCCGAAGATAAAAGATATCAGATGCTCACATTATCAAGATCAAGGTCTTCAAACATTTCGATTGTTTTATTATGGTATGATATCTACTGTGTAAGAAATAAGGTTAGGTTAGTCATACATGACATTGTTGCCAAGTTACAAAGAAATCACGAAAAGCACTGTATTTGCGAAACAAATGCTATTGACGTTTGAGACTAACACTAGAGGCGCTGGTGTAATTTACAAATGGAGCGGTCTGTAAACACTGAATTATTCTCGCCGGTTTTGACACCCCTTACTACTATTCCAACAATTTATTATTCAATTTCTAGCGCACTTGTACAACTTTACTCGCCGACATTCCCTCACCTCGATAATGCTTTAAAACAGCCTTACTATTCGTGGGACAATTACATTAACCACAAATTAAACAATAGTGATGATTTAATTTTTTTTTTACTATTTGTGGCAATATTTATTTATTTATTATTATTATCCCTCTTTTGTTCTAGGCCCTCAACAGGCTTGCGCCCAATTACAGAGTGACCCGCATAATGCTTTTTAGAGGTGCCTCTGCAGAAGGTCTTATAAGTTGTTCTATACTACTCCAGTATTTACCTTACGAATTAGGAAAACTGCAGGAAAACCTAATTCGGGTAGCCGGCAGAATGCTCGAAACTGGTCTAAGGTAATTTCCATCTCCGCCACAGATCAAAAATTCACCTCAACCCAGGTTCGAATACCCAACCTCCGGATTTATAACTCAACGCTCTACCATTGAGCCATAATGCCATATGCATCGACCATAGACATTACTCTCGTATGTTTCGGGCTACGGACGCGGTGTTGTTAATTCTTTGGCAAAACTCGCGGCAGCGTTTTGTATTTTACCCCAGTTTACGTCCATACGATGGAAGATCACACTGTTATATTAGCAATTATTGTTTCGAGATATTTGGAGCAGAATCGCAATCCAATGGGCAAACCACTGTGGATTTCTGGTGAGCAACTTGTAGTGCACTTAATTCCCAGGTTCTACGCTAACTTAACACTACAAGAACACGGAAATAACGTCAACCCGGCACCAGGTAACAATATGGCCACCCGAATGCCTATGAAAATAAGACACTCAAATTGTGAAAAGTCTGTTTAATAATGATCGCAATTATTAAGATTGTGAAAGCTATAATATATATAATATATAATATAATTTAAGTCGAAATAAATTTCATTGCAAAAATAAACTTTGAAAATGGTAGTTCACCGAATAAAAATAGAAATAGGCTAGGAAAAAAAGAACTTACCAATAAAAAAACCAGCCGTCAAATTAATATCAAATTGTGTTATAAAATTCATTGTTTGTAATGATGTGAATGCGTAACATAAAATTATAACATCACAAAAAGTAGCAGGTAAACTTCAAGAGGTAACATATAGGTTAAAAACTAGTTTCGGGAATTATGGGTCAGGTAAGCGCAGGTACCAAGATTCTAAGAAAGGGTGAAATACACAAGATGTGACTCATCTGTGGTGCAATAAAGTCCTTTTGTTAAAAGCAAGATTGAAAATTACATGGCATTGTAGGCAAATTTAATTAAAAACAAGATATGTGGAAATTATTGAATCGCCGCTTATTTATCGCACATAGATTCTAAACTGAAGAGCTTTGATTAGCGTAATACCGCTCCGGCAAGATGCGTAACCCGCCCCTAGTTTCGGGGTTTCGAGCCTACAGTTGAATGTCGAAGACAATCACGGAATTAGGTGTCGTAGCTCAATTTTGACTACCACCCATGTGACTGCTTCATTCACGGAGATAATGTTAGTTACAAACAACAAGTCAGT